CTCGTCTCTGTCCACACCAACAGTCTGAGTGTTCACCAGTTCGGCCAAGTCGTCACAAATTTATCGATAAGCCAGGAATCCACAAGCTCCAAACAGCAGAAATGCTGGGAGCAGAAGAAAAAAGCATCCGCAATCAATAGCCTTGTGTGATGTCAGCAGAGGTAGGAGCTCGCTTGGGAGATAAGACTTTATCTTGTTATGCAACAATTTACAGTTAAATGGATCAAAACCAAGCATGCCATTTTGATTTAAATATTATCTACATCTAAAGTGATTTAAAATTGATTTCACAGTGAAATGTGACCAGTAATTTTATTTTATTTTTTCTTGTAGCAAAACTCCAATATTTCCAAAGGTTTTCTGAAACGTAAGCTCAACTGACTTCTAAAGTCGATACAAAGATTTTCTTTTTTTACTGTACGTTTTTTAGGACAGCATAAAAACTTCAGGATGTTATAAAGTCCAGTCATAAAGCAGGTCACCCGAGTCAAAACTGTTTAAGCTAAAGCTTCTGGTCTTTGTCTAAAGGCAATCATGGGAACAGGAAGTGTGTTATTTCAAAAGGATTGATCAATTCTCTTTTTTGCCTTGCAAGAAAGCAGAACTGGTGTCTCTATATCGAACATTATTTGCTCCATTAGTAATGTTCTTTAACCAGCAATGACATTATCTTGGAGTAATGTGATCACATCAACACAACTCTATTCATTGGTGGTTAAAAGTTTAATCTGAGTGATATGCACTACTAAGTTCAGATTTAACCTTTTTTGAGTTTTCAACCTGGAGTGGGATGGGCGATGTTACCTTTTTTGTCTGCTTCGGGACAGTAAACAAACGAAAAAGCCCTCATATACGGAGGATGAAAAAACAAACCTTAAAGGTTGTTGAGACTTCTCATGTAAAATAGGCCCAAACAGCTGAGAGTCTCTGCGTATCTTTAGCAAATTCTTTCCCGAAAAGGAAGAATTCAAATTGAGAAGCGACTTAACGATTGGTCTAAACATCTTGGGGGCTTGCTCTTAACGCATCTCTGCAAACATCCGACGCCGAGGAACGAGATGTTGACTGAATACAGTGACACAACTTGTAGACTTATGTTGGATTTTGCTTTATTCCTTGTTTTTCTTCCCCCAAAAGAAAACATCACTCCATTATCACCAAATACACACAAGAGAGCAAGAATCACACAACATGATGATGAAAAGTTAGAACCGTTCCAGTTATGTTGTTTGACAGCCTTCCTAGTCAGTAAAGCGTTACTGTGGTTAAGTTTGGTCGAGAGCTGACTGTTGTTATAGGTTCAGTCATTGCTCTTGTGTCAGTGTGGGTCATAAGTGAGTGAGTATTGACTTAACAATAAAGAAACGGTACAAAATATGTATAAAAGTTTGCTAATGGTTCATGTAGGGTTTTATCTTAATATTTATGCGTCGCTTGGAATTGTTTAATAGTTGCTAGTAATAACCCAGTCATGTTAAGCTAGTTAGTGTTGCTACAAGCTATTTTCATGTGTGCTGTTATTGATTTGTCAATCAATTACTGAATCAGATATACTTTTTATGTTTAAACATGTTGAGAGTAGCATACACAAGAATGATTGACTGCAACAATTGATGCAGACAATTGACGATTGATGCATTCCTGCAGATGGCAGTAGGAGCACGAGGAAAAGGCAAGAGAGGTTATCTGTCTCATATTAAATCGTCACAAAATGGTGAGAATTTTAACAAATATGGAGAAGCCATATTTTTTCATAAGTTACATACGTGCAGATACTTTCAGAGTCCGTTTTTAACACGAGTGTCTCCAGTTAAAACAAGTTAAAATATTACTTATCACAATGTTTTGGTGTCCGAGTTAATGTTTATCTTTAGGTTAATGATTCATTAAATACCGCTGATAGAGAAGCCACCGAGGGGCAATGACTGCCTCAGGTCACAGTACCCAGCAGAGCGCCTCGGATACTCCCAACGACCTGCAGGCATTTTAAACCATTGGGACAATTTGTACATTAAAACCACTTAAATGTCCAGGGCGGGAGGAGCGTCCTGCACTATGCTGCAGTGTGGGGCTCTAAGCCTCGACATAAATTTTTGCTGGTGCTATATGTGGACACAATAGCTTCCAGCATCTGCTGCTGCTGCTGAGAGAACGGCCCGGCAGTCTGTCAACAGCACAGCTCCTGCCACGCATGACTGACGCACATGGGGGCCAGCTGGCTGCAGCAGGGCAAGTACAGTAAACTAAACAAAGCTGAAGCACATTTCAACTCGCAGTTTAGTCATACCCTCAACTTTCTCGAAACCTTCATGAGATGCAAGAGACGTACATAGATTTGAATGTATTTAAAACTCATCTAAAGGAGAAGTCAGTTAATTTAACAATGGAGTACTCCACGCACGTTCTGTGCCTTCTGCCTTCAGGGCACTTCCCCACTCCTTTTCCAGCAAATGCCTCTTACTTCTCCAAAACAGGACTTGTTGAATTAACAACAAAATGTGGTAAAAAAAACTAAACAAACACAAGGTACATGGTTTTCGAAAACGTCTTTAAAAAGTTTGTCGTGTCTTTATTCTGACACCCTTATAGTAAAACCCCACACTTTAAGATATCACTTGTATTGCAAATTGAGTGATTTAGTCTCAGAACGTCTTTATGTTGTGGTTTCTATTTAATTAACTTAAGTTAGCAGTTAAAACGAAAATCGATTTTGTTGTAGTGGAGTTAAAAGCCACATCCAAAACAACATTCTTTACACTCATCTTCCACCTGACTATGCTTGGTAATATTTACACTAAAAAGGTGTCTGATGTGAACTAAACTGAATAAATACAAATCATCTAGACCTGCTAGAGCAGGCAGCACTTTTTGTCGTTGAAGGCAAAAGTGGAATTGAAAGCAAGACCCTACAAGACAAAATGAATCTTCCTCCTAATCCGGCTTTTGTTGCCATAATGTGGTTGAACAAGTGCAGGAGCATCAGCTTGCACGAACAGGCCTGCACTAACATGCAGCCAGGGGCCAGCCTGGCGTTTCATCTCTTCCTGGGGTGAAGCAGTCAGATATACATTCACCGGAGGTGCAGAGATCAAACGATTACTGGTGAAAGAAACTCACCGAGATGGAGTAGATGAGGGCAGCGATTCCAAGCGGCAGGCAGCAGCAGAGCATGGTGAAGATGGAGTAGCCCATGTAGTCGTTGACGGGGTTGGTCAGAGGGCCCTGGGTGACATACACGGTGGGCTGCATGACGACGGGGGCCGGCTGCCCCGGGTACTGCTGGCCCGGTGAATACACCTGCTGGTTGTACATGACGCCTTGCTGCGGGGGGCATCCATAACCCTAAACGCAGCAAGAATAAAATTAAATTGAATCATATTTCTGGATGGCGACGGAGAGAGGGGGGACATTTCTTCATTGCTATGTTTCAGGGAACTACCAGTGTTGGTAGGACTGTGTTACCACACAGGGTAACGCAGTCCGGAGGGGGGCGTGGAAAACAACAGGTGCATCTTGCACTTTAGTGTAAACTAACAAAAAATAAGTGGCTTGTGTGCATGAGAACAAGTGGGAACTACTGTTTGTGGTAAAAAGACGAAGTCCGACAAGGCGGAAGGCTGGATTTATGTTTCATAGCTGGTGCTAAATGAAACTGTTCTTTTATACATTTAGAACATGTTGAGTAAATTTGATTATCTGTTTTTTGAAGCATAGAACAGTTTTATACCACACCAACCAGAGTTTCTTCAAACCAAGTTGAAAATGCTTTTCAACTTCAGGACTGCCAGACAAAAATCAGAAATACAATAAGCTGGGTAGGGTGTGTTGGATGTGTGTGTGTGTGTGTGTGTGTGTGTGTGTGTGTGTGTGTGTGTGTGTGTGTGTGTGTTCATTTGGTTGTGTACAGAATGGGAGAGAGGAAGAGGAAATGTGGTTACGAACAGTGCACTTAAGCAGGTCAGGGCCACTTATTGGTGTTGAGTGCGTGCATCATCATTTGTTGGAATCCTTTTTTTTTGTTTGTTTGTTTTAATCTTTTATTTAGTTTGCAAATTGGACTTATGTAAAATATGCAAAATTAGAACGCACAGTAGAACCCAAAGGAAGCTCCGACACAAGACATCATCGAAAATCTGT